GCTCACACAAACACGCACACACACTCACACACACACACACACACGCACTCAGACAGACACTCACACACGCGCTCAGACAAACACACACACACGCGCTCACACAAACACTCACACACACACACTCACACACGCACACGCTCAGACAAACACACACACGCTTACACAAACACACACGAACACACACACACACACACACACTCTCACATGAACACACACGCACACGCTCACACTCACACAAACTCACACACATTCTCTCACTCACACACACACACGCAAACACACACTCACACACACGCTCAGACAAACACACGCTCACACACACGCTTACACAAAAACACAGACACACCACACTCACACAAACACACACACTCACACACACACACAGACACACACTCTCTCACTCACTCACTCACTCACACACACACAAAAACAATATTTTGAAACAGCATCCCAAGCTTGTAATGCACATGATATCAGTCACAGCATATCCTACATGACTAATAAAAATCCCAAACAAATTTTAGAATAGTTCTCTGCATCATTCTGAAGGCGCTCCGCCTGTGTTTGCAGTGTTGAACGCTTTGATAATTTAAACATGTTAATTAATCACACAAACAAATTGTTTAGCGCACTGTCTCTGGAAAAAAAATCAACAGTGATTGCTTAGCCTTTGTTTATTGATGGTAGACGTTATTACTAGGCAATTTGCTGAAATATCCACAGCATACTGTATAAGCGCGCATTTATCTGTGTGATCTGTGTTAGCAACAGTAGATCAAACAATCATTGTAAAAAAAATAATAATAATTTTATGTCATGTCGAGATCACGAGAAAACTAGAAAGAAAAATATTCATAATCCACGGCCTCTTAGGACTTCCGTAGTAATATGTCTGTGTTTATTACTTTCTGGCTTCGTCCTGTTCCTAAATCAAGCACTCTTGATAGGTTCATTGATCGTTTGCACCCTTCATCATTGCACATTTGAGTTGTTTTCATGTCCTGACCTACCTATTCAAAAATAACTCTCTTCATGCGTTCAGATTCAAGAAACTGTTGGATAATGATTTGAAGTTATAAAACATGCACATCAGCAACCTAGACGATGCTTTACATGCTTCAACAGCCGTAGAAATAAAATACAAGTGAATTTCCATTGAAAATGGATACTAAATGATCTCCTTTTTTGAAGTCGATCGTCAAGCCCACACAGATGTCAGATGCTTTTGTTTTTCGCACTTTGTAGGATAATAAGTTCTGAATTAATCTGTAATGCCCTAACAAGTCATTAACCTACATGAAGATCTCATTGTGCGAACTTCAGCATCATCCTGTTTCATTGGATTTAGTGCTTGGTCATCAGGAACAACGTAACATTATCAGATTTTTTATTGTTCCTCTCCTCGTTGTTGTGGACGAAGTACTGTTTTTGTTTCTGTTCCTAACCACTGTAATGCTGCATGGCGTCTCTGCTACACTTTCCTCTGCTGTGGCATTGGTCATCACGACATCTTCCTCCTCCTCTTTTTCCTCGCTACACCTCCACAGCTCACCCTTCGTCTCTCTGCATCAGGCTGGCATGTGACGTGGCACTGGTTGTGTTTCTTCCTCTCCTCTCTCTGTACTAACAGACGCAGACCCAGCTGGAGCATGCCCTTCTTAAGGAGCTTGAACAGAGTCTTCTCTTTGAAAAGACCAAAGCTGACAAACTGCAGAGGGAGTTAGAAGACTCTAGGGTAATGGATCTTCACTTGGGCTATGGGAAGATATGCCACAGTGCTCCAGCTAACATTTAGTTTTCTGTGTCAGTGAGGGATCTTCACTGCATGTTGTTCCAATTAATAACTAATACTAGGAATGATTACTAACATGCACTAAATATCTCATTGCTGTAATATCATTGTGGTGTCTTGATATACATATAGGTATATAGAAGAACACAGATTTGTTTTATATGGGGTTCCCACAGCCGTAGAGAACCTGAAAGCATCGGGAGATTGTAAGTTGTCGAATGGAAATCAGCACAACCTTAGGAAGTACTGTAGGAGATATACACAGGCTTTTGGTGGCGTTGGTTCTGGAAGCATTTTTCCATTCATTTCTCCCATAGGGATTTTTAAAAAGTTTTCATTAAAAGCATTTTAAGCCATGAACCAAACCACCCAGCTATAAGGTGAATCAGAACATAACTAACTTTTATTTGATGCACAAAACTATTTCAAAATCAGGAAAAAAAGACAGGTACAAGATAGTGTACTTAATGGCTGTAATGAGGGAAAGAATTATTCATTTAAAGTTATTGATTATATGTACTGTATATCTAGTGGCCAAAACTGATGTGCGGAGAGAATATTTCTCATTTGCTTTTAATGACAAAAAGAGTGCACCAAAACACTTGGTGAAGGTATTTAACTACATGAAATGTGACCCTGGAACACAAAATACATTTTTAAAATTTATTTTTATAATTTTTATAATTCCATTGATTTAAAAAAAAAATCAATGGAATTTTTACTTTCGGAACCCAGCTGTTGTGCTATAACAGAGGGTTGAAGGTCTTACTAAATTTAATAACAATAAAAAAAGACATATACATGGAAATCTGCACACAATGTCTATAAAGTAATTTCTAAAAAAAAAAATCCTTGATCCTAGACCATGAATAACTGACAAGATCATGATAATCCATTCATGTGGGAACCCTGCTAGATGATCAGTTTTGGGGTTGCTCACTTGTAAAGTCACGATTCCTCCCAATTCTGTCCCAGGTTCCTCGTTTCAATGCTTTTTTACTTACAACCCCAATTCCAGAAGAGTTGGGACGTTTTGTGAAGTGCCATAAAATCAAGAATCTGTGATTTGTTCGTTCTCTTTAACCTTCATTTAATTGACTAAAGTACAGAGAAAAGATTTCCAATATTTTCGCTGGCCAACTTCATTTTATTTTGTAAATATAAACAAAATTTGATGGCTGCAACACACTCCAAAAAAGTTGGGACAGAGCCATGTTTAACACTGCGTCACATCAACTGTCCTTTTAATTACAGTGTTTAATTGTTTGGGAATCGAGGATACTAATTGTTAAAGTTCTGCCAGCAAAATTTCCATCCAATCTGGCTTGATGCAAGACTTCAGAAGCTCAGCAGTCTGTGATCGTCGTTGTCTGACTCTCCTTTTCATGACTGGTCATACATGTTCAATAAGAGACAGATCTGGACTGATCTAACACATTCACTCTGTGTCTACAGAACCACGCTGCTGTAGCACATGCAGGATGAGACCTAGCATTGTCTTGATCTGATAACCATGGACTTCCCATGAAAGACGTCATCTTGATGGCAGTATATGTCTCTGTACAATCCCAGTACATGCCTCCATGTCAGTGGTATCTTCGCACATATGCCAGTCACTCATGCTGTTTGCTCTGATAAACCCGTATGCCATGACAGACGTTTGCTTCTGCATCTGTCGCTGATGAATGTCTGGATGCTCCCTTTGGTCTTTGGCTGTGAGAACTTGACGTCCATTGTGGACTGATCTGAGCACAGCACACATTTCCACTGTCTTTCTGACTCTCTGAGATGAGCTCAGGCCCAGAGAACCCCGCTGCATCACTGCATAGAGCTGATGTATAGCTTTCTCTTAGAGTAACAGAGATTCAGGTTGCATTTACTGATGCAGCGGCAGACTGTGTTAAGTGACAGTGGTTTTCTGAAGTACTCCTGAGCCCATGCGGCTATATTTCACACCGCAGCATGACGCTTTCTCATGCAGTGCCATCTGAGGGGTCAAAGGTCACACACATTCACCTCAGGTTTCCTGCTTTGCCCTACACAGACTGGGATTTCTCTGGATTCCCTGAATCTTTTCACGATATTATGTATGGTAGTTGGTGAAAGATCTAAATTCTTTGCGATTTTGCATTGAGAAATGTGATGTTTGATTTGTGTGACACTTCTCTCATGGCACAAAGTGGCTTTGCTGGCAAAGACTGAGATGCTCCTTTTATTCCCAAACCTGATCCAATTCACCTGCTTACTGTGAACTGTTTAACTGGGATATTCTATAACCTTTTCACTTTTATTTTGCCTCTGTCCCAACTTTTTTGGAGTGTGTTGCAACCATCAACATCAAAATTTTTTTATATTTACAAAATGCATTTAAGTTGGTCAGTGAAAACTTTGGAAATCTTTTCGTTGTGCTTTTGTCAATTAAATAAAAGTTAAAGAGAATTAACAAATCACAGATTCTTGATTCTACTGCATTTTACAAAACATCCCAACTTTTCTGGAATTGGGGTTGTAGCTTAGGTAGCATTGCTCCTATACATGGAAAAGAGCTACAGTTGTATGAAAATCTATTTAAATGATCCACTTCTTAACCTGAAAAGATGATCATATCCGTACCACCAAATAAGTTCTCACTTATCCACACAGCACATTTAGTTTACTAAAAGAGCAGTTTTCTCTGTTAGGTGGCCACAGTCTCTGAGAAGTCCCGTATCTTGGAGTTAGAGCGGGATCTTGCCTTGCGGGACACGGAGGTAGCTGCTCTTCGCAAGTCTTTGGAATCTGTCTCAGGGCAAGACGGGGTTCCTGAGGAGGAGCTAAGCTCTCTCCACACACAGCTGGCGAAGAATAACAAGCAGCTTTCGGGTCAGCTGGCCAAATCTAAGGAGGAGAATTCAAATATCGTTGAGGAGTGGCGCGCTAAACTAGCATCGGTCGAGGCCTCGCACCAGCAAGCCTTGGAGGAGCTCAGAGCCTCCCACGAGGCAGGCACGTCTGAGCTGGAGGAGGTGCGTAATGCTCTGGAACAGCTGGAACTGACACATAAACTGGAGCTCGAGGAGCTCGCGAACAAGCGTGCTTCTGAAGCCATGGGCTGGACGGGTGACGCCAAAGAGCACAAGGCACAGCTCCTGAAAGTCAGCGAGGAGAGCGAACGGCTTGTAGAAACGCTGCGCACCAGTCTGGAGAAGGCAGAGGAGCAGCACCTGGTGGAGATGGAGGAGGTGTTGGGAAAACTTCACAGTGCCGAGCTCAGGGTGAAAGAGCTGGAGTACGCGGGAGTTAAGCTAGGTCAGCAGCTGCGAGAAAAGGCAGAAGAAGCTCTGGAGCAAGAAACAGCTCTTCAGACTCTTCAGGCACAGCACAGTCAAGAGAACCGAGACATGCAGAGGTTATTGACCCAAATAGAGGAGGCAAAAAGCCAAGCCAGATCTCAGGAAGAAAAGGTAGGCCTTCACGTCCATTTATCCCACAACTGCAGGAACATATTATACAGCGTATACATGTCGAGGAATCTGAGAAGAGTGATAGTGAAGAATCAACAGCAGTTGCCAATGATTTTGGCACAAAATGGTTCTTTGGAGTGAGAACTCGGGTAGATACTTAACTATTAAATAACAAAATTAACGTGAATGTATTGTAAAGTGCAGGCGGTTCTCTGCAGGATAACAAAGCATGCTTTGCCACAAGACCCTTATTCTTCTCCCTAAAATGCTTCATGTGGCCTAGTGTGTTTTTGATTTAAACTCAAAAGACTTTTGATGGAGAAAACAATGCATCAATGCGTGCGATTCTCTGAGTCTGATATTAGAGAACAAATCCCTAAAGAGGTCCCTTTTTATGTTTAGATATTCCAAGACTATTAAGACCAAGAATTATGAGTGATGAAATAACGCTTAGATCAATAATAACAAATGTAAACATAATAAACATTTAAGGAGGATTACTCTGGATTATTATTTTCTGACCACTTTATTAGGAGTTTTTTTTTTCTCGCAGAAACATTGATTGCATGCCTCATACACAACCAATATAGTAAACTAAGTAGTGAACTTTATGCAACGGGAGTCAATATAAATGTAATGCTGTAATCGACGCATGCCATTCAGCTGAATGTCCAAGTTGCTCTTTTCCATTCAACATAAATGTATGGAAGCTCATTGACAAGAATTTTAGAAGTATTTCAACTCTTCTGAAGCCATACAATAGCTTTATATTTATTATATTTATATATTCATATGCCAGATTTGACATCAGTGGTGTTCAGTGACAGTGATTTGCACTTGTCTTTTCACGGTTTGCAATGCACCAGGTTTTTACAGTAACAGTCCTGTGCTGTTCATTCATGCATTCATTCTTATTGTTTGATCATTTCATTTGTGCATTGTGCATTATAGGGCTGCACGATTAACTGAAATAAAACCGAAGTCACAGTATGGCTTAGTGTGATTGTCAAATCAAGTAATCAAGTAAATATATGTGCTGCGTGTTTCAGAGTAAATGCTGCTCCAAACAAACTCTTGGGTATCTGAGAACGCAACATGCGCCAACCATCTTCCCATACTTGTAATGAAAAGCACTTATCAACAAATGAATTGGGAAAGAAATTATATTTCAATATTCCTATGAAATATTAGATATTATTATGAAAATACTGCCAATTATTACTCCCATTATTACACTTCTTTTTTCATTACATGTTGCCCCAAGAACACATTAATATGCAAAGTGTATAGATACATTGTAAACCCTCTTATGGCCATTTTACACACATACTGCATAAAGCAAAATGGTATATCAGATCATCCTGTTATATATTTCATAACAGTTGAGAATCATCTTTATACAAAGTTTGGTATAAAAAAATCCTGAAACCTAAAAATGTATGTTTATTAATGTCTTTTTATTTTTTCCTACAGAGGACACAGCATAACGTATGAATAAAATATAATTTTTCAAAAATGTTATTTTTAATTTTATTTTCTTATGCTCTAAACAATGTAATGACATGAAAAAATACTAAATTCACAAAACTTTTTTTTTTCTGGGTCTCAGGAGGTTAAGGGATATTTGATTGGAAAGTTTGATGGAAATTAAGACTCTTTAAAAATACTTTTTTATTTTACAGTGAAATATTACAATTGTAACATTTCTTATTTTGTTTATTTAGTACATTTTTTTATGTTCATTTGGTAACATTATTATTATTTATTTGCCGTATTATTGATATACAATCATAACATCTTTGCTAAATTGTGCGGCCGTATACAAACAAGCACAGCAATCGCAATGACAATTTTTATCAGAAAATCACAGTTCAGTTTTTTCTCCAAATCGTGCAGCCCTGTTAGCATTGTTCTCAACAGTGTTCTGAGATTTTATTTCCCATAATATTCCAGTCCTTCACTTTGTTTAAGTTCTACTTTGTGCGACCGGCACGGGTCTCTTTGAGTTTTTGTGTGTGACATTGCTCATGTTTTGTCCCTGTCATCTCCCTCCATTATGGTGCGATACCGTGCTGTAGGTCACAGAGTTGAACTCGGTACTAGAGGTTAAACAACAAGAGCTGAGTGGCCTGCTGCAGGAAAAGAGCTCTCTGGAGCAAGAAGTTAGTGTGCTGGTAAGTGACGGTGTAAAGATACCTTCATGGAAACTGGCTAGAGAAAAATACTTAGGCAAAATCGCTTAGGTAAATGGTAATAAAAGTACTTAAAGGGATAGTTCACCCAAAAATTAATATGCTGCCATTTACATTTCTGTTGTTTTTCTTTAATAATGAAAGTCAGCGTGGTCCAGTGTTGTTTTAGACCCCGCTGATTTTTAATATGTGACCCTGGAGCACAAAACCAGTCTTAAGTGTCAATTTTTCGATATTGAGATGTATACATCATCTGAAAGCTGAATAAATGATCTTTCCATTGATGTATGGTTTGTTAGGTTAGGACAATATTTGGCTGAGATACAACTATTTGAAAATCTGGAATCTGAGGGTGCAAAAAAATCTAAATATTGAGAAAATCATCTTTAAAGTTGTTCGAATGAAGTTCTTAGCAATGCATATTACTAATCAAAAATTAAGTTTTGATATATTTACGGTAGGACATTTACAAAATATCTTCATGGAACATGATCTTTACTTAATATCCTAATGATTTTTGGCATAAAAGAAAAATGTATAATTTTGACCCATACAATGTATTGTTGGCTATTGCTACAAATATCCCCCAGCGACTTAACACTGCTTTTGTGCTGCAGGGTCACATATATCAGCTTTCGTGATCCACAGAAGAAAGTGAGTCATACAGGTCATTCATCTTTGGGTGAACTACATCTTTAAATACATCACAAGTACATTTGAATGGCACGAATAATGACACCGCTGCTTATGGCGGGGTTCTGGAGTCTGTGTTTAGGATATGTAGGAGTCAAAATCCAGAAGCACTGATTTAGAGACAAGGAATTAAGCCTCTGATTAATCCTCAAATCCATTCACGTTCTTCATTTTCCAGAAACAGAATCTTGAAGAAACCTCTAATGATCAAGCCACATCTGCTCAGACTGATCAAGGTATGTGTACGCACAGATTACTTAGAGTCGCGGCTTGACTTATGTCAGAATCGATAGAGCTCTACATTCGGTGTGATTGATGATCTTGATGTCTTGTTCCGTCTTAAGGTTTACAGAGAAATTTGAAAGCAAGCGAGGAAAGGATACTGCTGCTGACCAAAGACAAAACTAAACTTGAGAATGACATTGTGGACATGACGAAATCAACGGGCGACAGCTCTACTCTAATAACAAAGCTGAATGAGCAGATCAAGCAGAAAGAGAGGTTTGATTAAGCTGCTTAAGAACAACCGTAGAGAAAGAAAACAAGTCATTAACCTCGGTTTACAGCTTAGCTTGATTTGGTTTGTGGGGCCTGAAACATATATTGGTGGACTAAATCAATCATAGCTATAATTCACGAGTCCTGCCTGATTTCAGGAGACTAGAGGAGCTTCAGAAGCAGCTTGAAGAGGAGAGGGAGAAGGCAGCTCATGCGGAGGAGGAACGCTCTCGAGCCAAAAGCCTGGAGCAGAAACACCGAGCAGAGCTTTCCAGCCTGCAGGAGACGATCAAGCTTCTGGTGAGAACGTCTCCCATCCCACACTGTAAAAAATCTAATCTGTAGTTTTTACTAAATAATTTTGGAAGCTTAATAATTGTGTGTAAAATACAGAAAAACTGTAAAAACATTTACAGAACCACCTGTAAATTTTACAGTATAAAACTGTAATTTACAAACAAGAAAATGTGAGTGTAAACTAGTAAATTCAACAACGCACACTGCTACTAAAATCTGTTTTGTATCTTTAACATAAACGACAACCACCATAATAATGCAGATGGTAAAAGAGACAGCAATATGAAGAATCAGTTCATCACAAGAAGCTTTTCCACAAGCTGAAGTATATACTAATATATAGAAGGTGCACGGAGTCATTCACGCAAACACTAAACACCATCACGGTGACTCACATGACACTTAAATAATGCAATAAACATTCATTAAACCACAGAAGATGTAACATAAACCCCAAATGTACTACATAACTGATAACAAACTTGACAAAACTATTAAGAAACATGATTATTTAGACAAAATACTGTCAAATGTGCAGTGTCACGCAGGAATATCAGTTTACGGTTTTATACTGTAAATTATATGTTGATTTGTTCTTTAATAATGCAGGTGGTAAAAGAGAAAGCCACATGAAGAATCAAAGTTCATCACAAGTAGCTTCGCCACAAGCAGAAGTATATACTAATATATAGAAGGTGCACAGAGTCATTCACGCAAACACTAAACACCATCATGGTAACACACGACACTTAAATAATGCAATAAATATTAATTAAACAACAGAAGATGTAACATAAACCCACATGTACATAACTGATAACAAACATGACAAAACTATTAAGAGCCATAAATGCTTTCAAATGTGAAGTGTCACGCAGGGAATTCTGGGAATATCAGTCTACAGTTTTTTACTGTAAATTATATGTTGATTTGTTCTTTTTTTACTTCTAAAAATTGAACAATTAACAGCATTTTACTGTAAAATTACATAAAATGTCTGGTTAGATATTTTACAGTTTTTCCCTGTATATAGTACGGGAACTTACTGTTAACCTATTAACAACATAGCGTTTTTACAGTATTTTACAGTTAAAATTGCACTCGTTTTTTACACTCATTACACACCCTTACTGTGTTTAAGTGTAATGATTTAAAGAGATAAATCTCCCAAAAATAAAATTGTGTCATCATTTACTCACTCTCATGTTGTTTCAAACCCAGAAGACTTTGGTTCGTCTTCAAAACACAAAGTAAGACATTTTAAATGAAAACTAAGAGGTTTCTGTCCCTTCATTGAAAACCAAAAGAGTCATAAAGGCTGCATAAAACGAATCCCTATGAATCAAGCAGTTCAATCCAGAGATATGATTGCTTTATGTCATGAACAGATTTAACTTTTTGGATCTTCTAAAGTCAAAATATACGTTTGGCAATAGGGACAAAAATATTATCATGATATTTTTTGATACAATATTGATATTTACCGTTAATGGGGAAGGAAATACTTTCCACATGTTTGTTAGACCTTAAGAATAAAAAATAATAATAATAATAAGCATAACTTTGTTCACAATTAAACTCCACATAGTAAGCAAACCTTTTAATTTAGGGCCCCGTGAAATCCATTTTATTTTCCCCTAAATTCTGTGTTTTCCATTTACTTTTTTTCTGGATTCTACATTTTATGATTCGATACAAATGTATCATTACAAAAAAATTGTGTCTAATGAATCAATAAAACTTTAACAGTTCAATCGTTCTTTCAAAATGCAATCAAAGTAGATTAATTTACAACAAAACATTGCATTTTCATTTAGTCAAGCCAGATGCTACACAACAGAACTGTGTGAATTAATGTAAAAATGCCTGGCTTGTATGACATTCCTTAAAAATAATAATATTACTTTGAGAATTATACTTTAGTATACTACAGTAATATATTTCTGTCATAATTTCAAGTTAAGCCTGACTTTTATTTTTCCGGTTTCAGTGTGTTTTCCGGTAGTTTTTTCTCAAAGTGAACGCTGTAAAGCTGCTGAAGTGACTCTCAGAGCAGCTCTGGAGATGAAGTTCATGTCCTCAGACATCATGTATGACTTGAAAATGGGCATTGTGTCATGCGTCCTCAGGAGAAGAGCGCTGCAGACAATCATGCTAAAGCCAAAGACGTGCTTGCTGCGGGAGAGAAAGCGCTTGCCGACGCTGTGGAGCGCCATTCCAAAGAAATGCAGGGACTACACAGCGAGTTTGATAAAGTGCACCAGGAGCTCCGCGCGTCTCGGGATGAAAGCCTGGAGCTGAAGACACAGATCGAGCCGCTTCAGAGAGACCAGGCTGAGGCCGAGGCTCTGGTGACGCAGCTCAAGAGCTCAGTGCACGAAATGCAGAACAAGGTGAGTGCATACCCAGAGTTATTACAGGCTGATCCATTCAGCACCTTTCTCAAAATACAGTTATTATGCAAGGTGATATTCTGAGCATATTTTATTTCCAAGCACATTTTACCAATCTCAAACCACGCCAGTCTTACTACCTACTATTCTGATCATTTATAAGTGATATATAACAGTCCATGAAGGCAAGTGAAAAACGCCTTATATTCAGGTGTGTGTAATTATTAAGCAGGTTTTGTTTTACAGATAAAATGAGCCAAAAAAAAGATATAACTTATTAAATTATTAAACGGCCACGAGAAGGATGCAATACTAGAATTTGCAAAGTTAAGGCATGACCATTGGAGAGCGAAATGCTCAGTGGGTCAGCAGAGAAGAAAAGAGACATGTTAACTGCAAAAGAATTAAGAATAAAGGTGAGAAACCATCAGGAACCCATTTTTCTAAACTACGAAGTGTCATCTCTGTGAGATTTCTAGTCATTGGTAACAGGATCGTGACACTCCTGATGTGTTTTGTGCTTCTGACACTGAAACGCCAAACCCAGACTAGACCCAAGTGTTAGAATCTAGACACTACGCCCGAACACGCAACACTTTAAGAGTCATTGTAACAGATGATAATACATATATGTGTGTGTGAGTGTGAGTGTGAGTGTGAGTGTGCGTGTGAGTGTGAGTGTGTGCGTGTGTGAGTGTGCGTGTGTGAGTGTGCGTGTGTGAGTGTGTGAGTGTGAGTGTGTGCGTGTGAGTGTGCGTGTGAGTGTGTGCGTGCGTGCGTGCGTGTGCGTGTGCATGTGCATGTGTGAGTGTGTGTGTGAGTGTGTGCGTGCGTGCGTGTGAGAGAGAGAGAGTGTGTGCGTGCGTGCGTGTGCGTGTGTGTGTGTGTGTGTGTGTGTGTGTATATATATATATATACTTTCTTTTTAACATTTTATTATTTCCCAAATTCTATTTATTGATTTATTTACATTTTTCTGGATTCCTTGTTTTTTTTTTTCAATTTTAATATTTCTGGATTCCATTTCAATGGTTAAATTAAATTTTGTTAATCTAAAATCATGTCTAATTAATTTAAATTATGAAATGTACACAATTTAACAACAGTTTATTACATTTTTAGGGCCCTATGAAGTCTGTTTAATGTTTTATTTTTCCCAAATTCAGTTTTTTTCCATTTTAATATTCCTGGATTCTTTGTTAATGGAAAAAAAAAAATCAATAATCAATTTATGAAATTGATTTCATAAAACAATTGAATAATTTATCACATGTTTTTACTGCAATAGGGCCTTGAGTTGTCCGTTTTAATTTTTCTAGATTTATGATTTAATGAAAATGTATTGCTGGTAAACTAATTAAGGCATAAAACAATAAAATTTTAAGTAATATTTAAAAAATGCAATTTAACAATTCCAATTAATTTTTTTTAGCAAACAAAGTGCTGCGCAACAGAGGTTTACAGTTAAAATTAAAACAAGTTTTTTTTCTCCTTAAAAATAAATGTTTTAATACTTCTATTATTATTAATAATAGTATTAGTACTATTATTACTATAAGTACATTCTACTGTGTATTAGTAACGTATTCATGTCACGATTTCTTTATTAAACCAAATTTTCATGAAGAAGTACCTTTGAGTTTCAGTGTGTGCAGCCGTGCTTTTGATCAATTCATCCAAATTCTGCCGAATTCTGGGACATTCTCCGTTATACTCTCAACTCTGTGTTTTGTGCATCGCAGAAATGATAGGGCCCCATAGATACCTTGAACCTGTGATTAAAAAAATCTCATACTCGTACTGTTAAACCCTAAATGGAAGCTTAGCAGGCAAGTGTGTAGCACCACAGATAAAGAAATGTGCTGTACCTGTGCGGTTTACAGCGAGAAACACAGTAAAAACCTACAGGAATTGCATCAGTAATGCTTAACCACACACTCATCCAGCTGCTGGTAGAAATAAATAGAAAACATGAATAATTCATGTAAACGCCACAATGAGCTGCACATTTGTTTTTAAATCCTCAGATATTTGCAGGAATATTTATATCTACTAGTGTCTGCTTCAAGCTGTTTTTTTCTCTGTATCCGTCGTATGAGGAGCTGAAACAAGCAGTCGCTGAAAAAGCCCAGGCAGTGGAGGCTCTGAAACACGAGAAGGAAAAGCTAACCGTGGAGCTCGCCAGCAGCCACAAAGACGGCAATATTCTGCTAAACGTATGTTTATTGCATTATGTGCAGTTTTTACGGTTTCATTTTGTGCCATCAGGGTTTCCGCAGGTCCTTATAAAGTCTTACATTTAGTTGTATCGCATTTAAAATGTCTTAAATGGTACAAGAAAGTCTTAATTATTTGATTTGAAGAGGTCTTAAATTTGGGGACGGAAAGACGAGGATTATATTAATTGTTTAAAATAATAATTGATACTTTTGACTCATTCATTTTCTTAAAAATGGTTTAAAGGCTGAAATGTGAAATGTTTATCATTTTATAAAACTTTTTGTTTTTGTGAAAACAACTGTAAATCATGCTTTTTACAGTCATTCTAATATGTTATCATAGGCCCTACCACACTCATATGGTATTCATTTGATTTGTGCAGGTCTTAAATTTGAGCTTAAAAATCCCGCAGATAAAGAGTCGCAATCTAGATGCTTCAACTAAACTATTTGATCAAATTTTCATTCTGCTTGTCAAAGAAAAAAAAATTGGGCCAGTGTTTTATGTAAATTCATTGCAAACATTGTAGTTTGCTAGCTAAATATAACTTAATTTGAATATGATGATGTTCTCATATTTGTGTGCTATTTTGTGATTAGTAAATGTCTTGAAATCTCTTCACTGTCGTCTGAATGCAGCTCAAAAAGGAGTGTGACGGTCTCAACGATCAGCTGAAGGAGATGAAAACGAGGTAATGAGCTGTCCGTACAGACATTTATGAACACAGAGAAATGACAGCAGTTTATTAATGCTTTTCATAGACATAGTTCATAGTTCCAGTCAGTCAAATTAGATTATTGTTACTGTATAGCAACAAGTATAGATGTTTAATCATGGTATTATATGTGCAGACTTTCTAGGACACGCACATGCATTTAGAGCGATTATATAAACAGATTGGTTAGAGTTTATCATGGTCTGTGGCAGGCTTTTCTAACAGTCGGGCAACAATTCAACAAACAAGAAGTTAATATTAAGTGATTTCATTCGTAGAGAAAATAATGTCGTTTTGCACTATTTCGCGGAAATGGTTCTAAACGAAGCCATGTTGTGCGTCTCTGCACACAGCAGTGTTTCGTTACTGAATGAATTTGCCTTTTTTGTACACGTTGAATCCGTGATTCACTGACCCATTCATAAAAAAACAGTTTCTTACGAATCAGCCCTTTTGAACAAATCGACTGAATAAATGACTCAACGACTCGGTCATTAAGACTGAGACTACTGGTGATTTTAGTCTCTTTTTTTTTTTTACAAGCATCATATGTGGCCCTGCAGCACAAAAGCAGTCTTAAGTTGCTGGGGTATATTTGTAGCAATAGCCAACAATACATTGTATGGGTCAAAATTATACATTTTTCTTTTATGCCAAAAATCATTAGGATATTAAGTAAAGATCATGTTCCATGAAGATATTTTGTAAATTTCCTACCATAAATATAGCAAAACTTAATTTTTGATTAGTAATATCCATTGCTAAGAACTTCATTTGGACAACTTTAAAGATGATTTTCTCAATATTTCGATTTTTTTGCACCCTCAGATTCCAGATTTTCAAATAGTTGTATCTCAGCCAAATATTGTCCCATCCTAACAAATGATGATGTATAAATCTCAATTTCACAAAATTGACACTTAAGACTGGTTTTGTGCTAAAGGGTCACGTATGTGAGTTGAAGTCTGAAAACGTTACTGTATGGAATGCAGCAGCACGAACATTCTATTAAGTGTTTCTTTTTGTTTCATGGATGAAGAAAAGTTACACAGGGTTGGAGAGCTTGGGGGCGAGTAAATGATGACTAAAGTTCAATCACACAAGCTCTCTTCTGCGCAGGGAAAGCACTTTGAAGAGCGAATCAGAGAAGGAGAACGCAGCTCTTCAGCAGTCTCTCCGAACACAGAGTGCCTTGATCTCAGAGAAGGACACAGAATTAGACTCTCTGAGGAACGAGGTAACATCTTCAACAGCTAAGATTTGCTGTACAGTGTTTGAAGTGTTATGAAAAGTTTCACAAGAAAAAGAAATGCTGTCAGTTGTCATACAAAAAATATTTTGGCACAGCAAAAACTGTAGGTGTAAAACACATAATTAAAGTAGGCAAGCTGTTTTTTTCTCTGTATCTGTCGTAGCTGGATGCTTTGAAACAGCAGAACTCGCAGTATGAGGAGAACCTGAGTTCTGACCGTCAGAAGATCAGTGAAGAGATGTGAGTAGCCACGTTTACATGGACACTTTGTTTCATTTCAGTCGGAATGAGATCATCAGTGTTTACATGAACGCTCATACTACTGTTCTTTGTATTGTTGTGACATTTGAGTCATTTCTCTTTGATATTTACTGTTTTGCATTCATGATGAGTTTTCACTCAGTTTAAAGTCTTGTCTCAATCTTCTGCTGATATTTCATCTACTTTCTTTGTAATTCGACCATGTATAATACTAGGGGAGGATAAGGGAATTATAAAAATAACCAATGTATTACATATTCAAAATACAATTCCGGGTTTATTTTTAATGTAGAACTTAAAGGGATAGTTCACACAAAAATGATCTCCCCCCCCCCCATCATTTACTCCTCATGTTGTTCCAAACCTGAGTTTCTTTTCTCCTGTTGAACCCCAAAAAAAGATCTTTTGAAGAATGTTGGTAACCAAACAGCTGACGGTTGCCATTGACTTCCATAGTATTTTTTTCCATACTGTGTTAGTCAATGGCTACCGTCAGCTGTTTGTTTACCAACATTCTTCCAAAGATCTTCTTTTGTGTTTAACAGAAGAAAAGAAACTCATTCAGGTTTGGAACAACATGAGGGAGAATAAATGATGACAGAACTGTCATTTTTGGGTGAACTAACCCATTATTAACTTAGTTAATGTGTGTAATGTGTGTGTGTGTATAATATATAAGTGTGTGTGTGTTTGTCTGTGCGTGCGTGTGAGTGAGTGTGAGTGAGTGAGTGTGAGTGAGTGCGCGTGCGCGAGTGTCTGTCTGTCTGTCTGTGCGTGCGTGCGTGCCTTTTTGGTACTATATAATGGCCACATGGTCTACAGTAAATCGCTGTCACCATACCTGTAGTACAGCATGATTCCTGTTTGCATATAACTAATTAATAGATGACAATCATGATTTTGAGTAGTGAGACCGTACATTCAATTACATCATTTACATGCTTTTTAGCACAGGTTAGAGAATTGTTGAGAATTGCTGCTTTTATTTATGAATGTTTCAAGAACAAGTCAAGTACGAATTGTGATTTCACTTTTCCTCTGTCTGAGAGTGTAGTTTGAAGAAATGCTGGTTGTGTGTTTCAGTGAGGAGCTGAAACAAGCAGTCGCTGAAAAAGCCCAGGCAGTGGAGGCTCTGAAACACGAGAAGGAAAAGCTAACCGTGGAGCTCGCCAGCAGCCACAAAGACGGCAACGTTCTGCTAAACGTACGTTAACCGAATGATATGTGTGATTTAATAGATATATTAGTTTGCATCTGGAAGTTTGTCTGAAGTCATTTTTATATTTTAAATCAGTCATTTTTGAATGCTAAAAAATGAATGAAATGTGCAGTGTGTTTTATGTAAATATGTTATGCTTTAAATACAATGCTGTGATGATTAATGTGTTCATTTGAGAGGCAAAAGCCCTAAATTTGATTCGCTCTCAATGCAGCTCAAAAAGGAGTGTGACAGCCTCAATGATCAGCTGAAGGAGATGAAAATAAGGTAAGCAACGGCAGAGTTTATGGTGTTTATTGCATTGTTTCGACTAACCCCAAACGAACGAAAGCTGAAGCACACATCTTACAGTCTGTCTTCTGCGCAGGGAAAGCACTTTCACGAGTGAATCAGAGAAGGAGAACGCAGCTCTTCAGCAGTCTCTCCGAACACAGAGTGCCTTGATCTCAGAGAAGGACACAGAATTAGACTCTCTGAGGAACGAGGTAGTATGGCTGATTATATAATAACGTTGTATGATATTTGGGAAGATACAGAAACTGGAAATTAAATCACCTATTTGTTTACATGAGCTTCTGGTGCTTGGACTTTCTCTGTTCCTCGCTATTAAGCTAGTATTACTTTTGGACAAACAGTTCTTAATTCGTCAGTTTCTGTTCAGAGACTGGAACTGTGGTGTTTTTCCATGTCAGTCTTTATTACACAAGACTGTAATTAAGTTTCAGAAAAAAAAAATAGTTTTCATAAATTGAGATTTATACTATTAGAATATGTGAGTTAATGATAGGCTCCTTTACTGAGTTTAGCGCTGCCTCGCCCACCGATTCTACAGCGCTGCCTGTTTAGCCCCGCCCACCGATCCAGACCGCATCAGTGAAAACTGTTTTTATTACGTGCTCACTATTGCTTTGTTTGTTATTACAGATCGTTTGATCTGCCTTTTTAACCTAAATCACAGCAGCGCCCAGCTCTGAAGGATGCAGCTGTCAATCATACACAGCTATTAGCCAATCACAGCAGTGGGCGTTTACTTCTGAGTCTACAATCCGCCAGACCTATTCAAACAGTGTTCTGATGAGGGGTCAAAACAGGACAGAAAATAGACTATTACTTCTGAATTATGAAGAGAACATTTATTCTATTAACACAATTATGTTCAGAGAACAGTACACAATAATAAAAAAAGCAGTTCATGACCACTTCAAAAGCTGAAAATATAAATGCAAAATTTGCATAAATATTAAATTCTGTTCCCTCCTAATGCAGTTCAAAAAGGAGTGTGACAGGCTCAATAGTCAACTGAAGAAGATAAAAGTGAGGTGAGCAACCACAGGAAATTTAATGCAATTTTGACTACCATGTGTGGAAGTCTTTGCTGTGTTGTTTTAATATAGAGATTCTGACCCTGCATGAGTGAATGGAGAAAGCACACGTCATACAGTCTGTCTTCTGCACAGGGAAAGCACTTTAACAAAAGAATCAGAGAAGGAGAACGCAGCTCTTCAGCAGTCTCTCCGAACACAGAGTGCCTTGATCTCAGAGAAGGACACAGAATTAGACTCTCTGAGGAACGAGGTAACATCTGTTTGGATTAGAGTGTGTGTGTGTGTGCGTGTGCAAAGGTCAGTTTTGCTCAGTGTTGTTCGTGGTTCTTGCAAGCAGATAGCAGGTCTGCAGTCCAGTCTGAAACTCCACAGGAGTGAGAACACTCAGCTGCAGGAGGGAGTGAAGGGTCTGGAGAGTTTAGCTGACGCTCAGATCAGCGGCACAGGTGACCCTTACAGCACAAGTCTGCTCCAGTTAACAGTAAATGACACAGGGTGCAATGCACATATTTGAAAGATGTTAATGTAACGTAAAAGAAGAATTATATAGAGGAATTCCAAGACTATAGATTTTGTTTTCATTGCATTGCATTTCAATTCTTCCAGACTGTAGTTCTGCTATTGCATTTTTGCTGGACTTGGGATCAAACCTTGCTTTATATTCATGTGTTTAACCGTGTGTTTTGCGTACCAATCAGATGATTCTGCTTTAAAAACATGGAAGGAGGCAAAGGAGAATGCAGAGCGGCAGGTATGCAAAGGACAGTTTTCTCTGTTATGTGTATTTTAGGCATTTGACTTTAGATATACGGTCTCAGAGCAACAGGACATGGTTTCTGCAGGTTTATGGGATTATAAAATCATGAATTGCCCATTTAACACACTTTTGCTGATTAACTTCCTTCTTTGGCACAGGTTGAATTCCTGAACTCGGTTATTGTGGATCTGCGGCGGAAGAACGAAGACTTGACATCTAAACTGGAGACGATGGCTGAAGCAGCGCTCAATGGGAACGGTGCAGCTGAGACGGACACTCACAGCAGGTGTTTGGCTCTGTTTTGTAAATCTCGGCATACAATGGCAAGAACCAGTTGAACTCGCTAATTTGTTTTCATTTAATCTTCAAATGTGACACATTTTTCACTTAGTTTAACAATTACTGGTTTTATTATTTGACTTTGGGTACGCACACATTTTGTAGACTTGGCGATGGCTTTTAGTTCCTCCAACTATAAAAATGTAATTCTGTGTACATAAAAATATAGAAGAGTATTTCTAAATTAGCTTTTTTCCTTAATTCCTCTGTATTGTTTAGAATCAAATAGATTATTTCAGCTTGGGTTTTCCATGCTTCATCCATCTTTTTATTTTATGTTGATATGCAAAATGTGTAAAAACAGAATAACATTGTTTTGCACAAGTATGTTGAATTAAAAAAATCTGTTAAAATAGTTTTTTATTAAGTTTGTTACACAAAGTCTCACACCCTAGTCATGCCGAGCCGACGCTTAAAAAGAAACCCCCTAGAAATTGCTACAAACAAGCTAGTCACTTGCTAATCATGCTAGCAACATGCTAGTGACATGCTAGTAACATGTTAATCATATTAGCAACATGCTAATCATGCTAGAAACATGCTAGTCACTTGTTAATCATGTTAGCAACATGCTAGTAGCATGCTAATCATGCTAGCAACATGCTACTCATACTGCTAATCATGCTAGAAACATGCTAGTCACTTGTTAATCATGTTAGCAACATGCTAGTAGCATGCTAATCATGCTAGCAACATGCTACTCATACTAGAAACATGTTAGTGACATGTTAGTAACTTGCTAATCATATTAGCAACATGCTAGTAACATGCTAATCATGCTAGAAACATGCTAGTCACTTGTTAATCATCCTAGCAACATGCTAGTAACATGCTAATCATGCTAGCAACATGCTACTCATACTAGAAGCATGTTAGTGACATGTTATTAACTTGTTAATCATGCTAGCAACATGCTAATCATGCTATAAACATGTTAGCGACATGTTAGTAACTTGTTAATCATGCTAGTAACGTTAATCATGCTAGAAAAAATTTAGTAACTTGCTAATCATGCTAGCGACATGCTAGTAACTTGTTAGTCATGTTAGCAATATGATAGTTACTTGCTAATCATGCTAGCAACAGGCTAGTAACATGTTAATCATGTTAGAAAAATGTTAACAACATGCTAGCAACTTGCTAATCATGCTAGCAACATGATAGTAACATTAATCAGACTAGAAACATGCTAGTCACTTGCTAGTCATGCTAGCAACATGCTAGTAGCATGCTAATCATGCTAACAACATGCTTGGAACATACTAATCAGGCTAGAAACATGCTAGTAACTTGCTAATCATGCTAGCAACATGCTAGTTATTTGCTAATCATGCTAGCAACATGTTAGTTACTTTTTAATCATGCTAGCAACATGCTAGTTACTTGCTAATCATGCCAGCAATATGCTAGTAACAGACCAATCATGTTAAAAACATGCTAATCATGCTAGAAACATGTTATCAACATCTATCAAAATTTTCAAACTTCAGGCTTTTACAACTACTTTAAACTTTCAGGCTAGGCGTTCTCAAGCCAACCTAAAATTTGTCTTCTTGACGAACTTTTTCGTCTAGTTTTATGTTGATATGCAAAATGTGTAAAAACAGAATAACATTTAGTTTTGCACAAGTATGTTGAATTAAAAAAAGCTGTTGACATATTTTGTATTAAGTTTGTTACACAAAGTCTCCCACCCTTGTCTTCTACACCTAGTCACGCCGAGCCGACGCTTAAAAAGAAGCCCCCTCCCCGTCTCTTCTGTGACATCTGTGACTGCTTTGACCTGCACGACACAGAGGACTGTCCCACCCAGGACCAGATGCTAGACTCGCTGCCACACACCACCTACCACGGCAGCACCAGCGACGAACGACCGTACTGCGACATCTGTGAGGTCTTCGGCCACTGGACAGAGTCCTGCAAAGATGATCAAACTTTCTAGCGTCCCGCTTCATTTGTACTTGCAGTGCTATGCCTTGAATCAAACAGTGCGCAAAAGACTATTGTAAGTCTGCCTGGTTTTTCACTCGTGTGTTTGCCGCCATATAAGCCTGAACCTTTCAGTCACTTTAAAGCAAGCGTCTGTAGTTTACTCGGTGGCAATTTTACCTGCTTTTTTGGACTGAATGACGGTTAGGAGGGTTTTAAGTTCACTTTGAAAGTAGTGAATGCTCATACTTTAAATGGTGGTAGAAGCGGTTCTCTTAAACGCTTAAAGGTTTCAGGTTTTTAAACTTCAGTGCTGACCTCTAGAGGAAGGGAGGCTTGACTTCTCAACAGCCTTTCACATATCAGCGAGAGACGTATTAATATAAAGAGTAAATTATTCTAGAATTGTGAAAATGTCATAGTTTCTAAATAAAAAATAAGTATGTTTCAGTCATTTATTATCTTTCAGAATGACCGTTACGAAAATGTTCGCAACTTGTCCAAAAATGAAATTAAAACACCTGTTTTTGTTACTTTATTGCTTTAATATTATGATTATTATTAAGTTGTGGAGATCTGGAATGTATGAAATTGTGACTGTTTTTAGTAAAGTCAGCATATGTTTCCCAGGTGGTATGTGAGACATTTATTTGTATAAAGATCAAGGGGGGCGGGGGCCAGATTTTATGGAAATAAACTTCAAAAAATATCTTTTAAGTGCAAAAAACATTCTTTGTTGTGTTGTATGTTCATGCTAATGTGGTGCTCTAAAGAAAAACCCCCGTGCTTTCAAATCAATTTCATATTGTCTGATGTGGTTAATCTCAAGCATGATCTACACGGATGTTTCCCAACCTTATTTCTGCTCTTTTGTTAAAGCAGTAAAGTTACACAGCTACCGGTGTGTTGCTAGGTTTTAAAGCAGGTTTGATTGTGTGTTTATATCAGTTTCACTGTCCACTCGATTCACGTAGATGTGTCCAGAGCTGTGTGAGATCACTACAATGCTGCTTTTGTGGAGGTGTGTAGGGTGTTAAATACAAACGTTTTGTAGCATTTCTATTGCTTTTTATCATTCTTAAAGCTCTTCATTCCAAACATAGGCCTACTACAAGCTAGCCAGTGTATTCAGCAGGTGTAATGTAATGTAAGTTGCTTCGGAGGCATTGCAAGTATTACATACAACAATAATAAAACAGTGCATTGACATAAAAAAGGAAATTTAGTAATGGTACTTAAGTACTTTTAAAGGCAAGTAGGCCTACTTCTGTATTTTTACTTAAGTAAAAATATGTCTTTACAACTTTCACTTGTACTGGAGTAATATTTGACCAGCTCTCGCTGTATTTTTTTTAGATCTGTTGAGTGCAAATATTTGAACGCGGTTCAACTCTTCCACAGGAAGACACGTGTTTAACACCGGAAGTCGTTTGTTTAGCTCCACCCCGCGCGGGCGAATTTGAAAGAAGAGCCGATTCGTTTACACCCGAGAACAGAGGTATTTGTTTTTATGTAAGTCCATATAACGTTAAGAGAACATTTAACGGATTGGTCGGTGTAAGTATAACAAAGGCGCAGCTCTTGTAGGTTGTTTGTTGTTGTGATCGTCAGTGTGTCGAGTTAGCTTAGCAAGATGAGCAACAAAGCCGCAGGGTTACCGAGCAAGAGCAGCGCTGGAAGCAGAAGTGAGTCATTACTGTGAGTCTGTTCAGGCTGTTAACAGCTTAGCTGAGTGCTTCTGAACGCAGTGTGGGGTTTGTTCCTAGAGTCTGATGGAAGGAGGTCCAGCAGGTTATCTGCGAGCGAGGAAACCCTGTCCACTGAAGCGGAGGTGAGTTCAGCTCGCTTTTCTGATCGATGAAAGCAGGACGAAATATGGCAAGCCGGTTTGACATTTACTCCCTCACAGGATATGAATTCTTGATATCCACAATTCAGTTTTTTTATTTTACTAGTTCAAATGCTAATTCTTGATATCAGGAATTAAATTTCAACTTGTAAAAAATATAATTCTTGATATCTGTAATTTTATTTTCACTAGTTAAATATCACCATAGGCTGCCATTCAAAATCAATTGTTGATATCAAGAATTAATGTCATACAAATTGAAATTACAATTTAATTGTTACTGGTACAGACGTCTATTCTTGATATCAACAATTGAATTGCTTCTAGTAAAAAGAATATCTAATTTTTGATATCAATAATTAAATCGTCACTAGTGACAATGTTAATTAGGGCTGTGCGATTTGGGGGAAAATATCAAATTGCATTCACAGACACAGGCTGTGTGTGCGCTCTTCTGAATTGGGAATAGCCAACATGCATTATAAACTTATTTCAAATTAATCTGTTGGGGAGATAAAATGTGTAAGATAACGTTCACGTACTAACAAAGACATGTAAGAATGTGTCTTTTATTCTCCAGTACTGAAAACAGAACCGATAAGGGAGCTTTTGATATGCGCTGTGACGCAGCTCTTGCAGATTACCTTTTTTGTTCGTTGTCTGTCATTTCGAAGCTTAAGTTGCATACGGTTTTCTTTAGTTTTAATTTGCCTAACTATCGATCTGACCCAGTAGACGCCATAATCCCACTCTGTCTCTCTCCCGTCCCGCTCTGTTTTTTTTTTAATGGTGGGTGTTTACGCAGTTGGCTAGAGCAGTGCTGATTGGGGAGAACGGAGGTGCGCTCACTCTCGCCCAGGGCAAGTAAGACTGCAACTCCAGGCTGGCAGTCATGCATATGCTCTGGAACAGAGTAATATCGCGTCCACATCGCAGGCTTTGCGATTAGCAAATCGCAACGTCTCAAATCGCGATTCGATTTCGATTAATCGCACAGCCCTAATGTTAATTTCTGATTGTTACCAGTAAGAAAGCCATTTTAGATATCAGAAATTATATTGACGTCAGATGCCTTTTTTCAGATATCGGAAATAACAAATGTAACATGTTGAAATACATTTACGGATATCAAGAATTAACATTGATTTTGAATGGCGATATTTAACTAGTGGAAATACAATTGCAGATATCGAGAATAATATTTTTTACTAGTTGAAATTCAATTGCTGATCATTTCTGATGTCATTGTTGATATCAAGAATTAACATTGTGACTAGTAAAAAAATTAATTGTTGATATCAAGAATTCATATCCTGAGAATGAATAAAAGTCAAAACGGCTTGCCATAGACGAAATGACTGTAGGACAGCAGCTGATTGACAGGTGAGGTTATGTTGCACATCACGTTTTTCTGGCTCACTGCTAAAACTGGAAGAATAAATCATCTCTAAATCCCAAACCATGTTGTCACTTTGACTTGAAAATGACAAAAAAGATAGACCTGATTGTCTAAAATACATAATATTAGCTCTAACACTTTATAAGTATGCATGCACTAACAACTCGCTTATAAACCATTTGCAAGCTATCAGTTTATACATTGTAGTCTTTGACATTGTTAATATGCAATGCACAAATAGTGATTTTTTTTATTCATTGTCACTGTAATTAACATTATTATTGTTTAATTAGCTCAGATGTAAAGAGTTAATGTGAGAGCGAGTGTGTGTTTTTTATTATTCTTTAACATCTTGTAACTGTTGTAAAATCATAATGTATCAAATGCATAAATGTATCAACTCACTTCATACATAAACATTGCTTTCATTTTAATTCATAGCTTTAATGTTTTCATGAACCGTTAAAGGCTCTTGTTTCAAATCGGACTGGTCTCATTGTTTATATGGAGATATGTAATAATGTAACATTTACAAGTGTAAAACATACTTTGTATACGTTTGGATTCATGCTGAAACATGCAATATTGGTGCACTGACAGCTTCTAACATGTTAACATTTATTATTATATACTAACAGTTTACAGAAATGTAACATAATTACAATTAAATTCCATTAATTCATTATTCATAGATTAAATAAGGATATGTAATGTCATGTGCAGGGCTCCATGTGAGCTAATTAATCAATAATAATCTGTTAATTACAGTGACGGTGAATGAAGAACTCATTATTTGTTTACAGCCAGTATTAACAATGTTGAGGCTACACTTTAAAAACGAAGTTTTCAAATGTTTTATAAGTGCTTTATTGCTGTATGCTTATTATAAAGTGTTAGCGAATCACGCAGCGGTAAACTTGCTGGTTTGGTTCATCATAATAGATATGTAGTAATATTATTATGTCTCTAAGGCTCCAGCTGTGGCTGTGAAGCGGTCGATCACGGTCAGGAAAATTGCACCCAGGAAAACTCAGGTAATTCTCACAAACTCTTCCCAGTATCATGCTGTACCTGAAATGCGTGATGTGGTCATGTGGAAATGTTCCCCTAGGCGCTGTGTGGCGGTAACAAGGAGAATGTGGAAAGATTATCTGAAGCATCAGCGCCCAGCACAGCGGTCCTCTCGCCCATCCTGCCTCCTTTGTCTCCGTCTGCGCAGCCCAAAGAACCGGAGCAGGACCCTGTTTGGCCCCAGAAAGTGCGGCGCTCCTACAGTCGCCTGAGTGTGGGGGACAGGTCCTGCGACAGCCCCAAATCCCTTCCTGCACCGTCCACTTCTCCCAACACCCCAGAGACCCTGTTTGGGTTCGAGAGGCTTCAGACGCCAGAGGTGATGTGTAAAGCAGAGGGATCTCGACTGACTCCTCTGGGCTTCTCAATGGGTTCCTTCAACATCTCCGCTGCTGATGACAGTGCGTCCAACCCTCCAGAGATCGATCCCAACATCCCGGGGGTGTGTCTGGGGAAGAAGACGGCCAGGAGGAAGCGCGTACAGCAGATAAAGGTGAGAAGGACATGCTGATATAAACATCTCATGAAGTCTAAAGGTGAAGTGTGTAACTGTGTATGCTCTTAAAGGAATAGTTAAACCCAAAAAATTAACACTTTCTGAAAATGTACACACTTTCAGGTCATCCGAGATGAAGATGAGTTTGTTTCTTCATCAGATTTGGAGAAATGTAGCATTGCATCAGTGTCTCAGCTAGGGATGTAACGATTACCGGTTTGACGATAAATCGCGATAAAACACCCCACGGTTAGTATTACTATTTCATATTTTAATTATCACTATAACCGTATTCGATTACGCAGCCATTTCTGTTGCATATGAGAAACGACAAATGAAACTGAAAGCATAACGAAACCGCGCGACTCGTTTGAGCTGCGCAGCGCTTCGAGTGTAGAGCATGGTTTATACTCGCCGCGTCAGGAAAAATGACGCGAATATTGAGGAAACGATGGATGGGTTTCATGCTAAAGTAAAGTAAAAGACCGCTTCTTAAACCAAAGGTGAACATGTTGGTATTCTTGGGACAAAAGCAATGCTACATTTCTCCAAATCTGATGAAGAAACAAACTCATCTCGGATGAACTGAAGGTGAAAAAATGCTCAGCAAATTATAATTTTTAAATTGCTGATTTAATTTTATTTTTTTAAAGGTATTTTTAATTTAACGTTTCCAAAACAGGGACACTTTTCGCAGTGATGCCATAAAGAACCATTTTTGCTTCCGCAAAGAACCTTTCAGTCAACAGTTCTGTTTCTTCGTGTGAAGAACATCTGAACCATCTAAAGAGCCTTTAGTGCAGTGGAAAATTTTCATGATGCCAGTACAGAATCTGTCATTTCTACTTCACCCAATAGAATTGCAGAAATGAGTTTCAAACAGGGCTCCCTTTATAAGCGCTTGTTTATTGATTCTGATCAGTTGTGATTTTTCCTGCTCTTTCAGATGTCGGAGCTGGACGCTCTTGCCGCGGAGATGAATGCAGAGTTTGAGGAAGCGGAAAGTTTTGACCTGTTTGTTGAATAAAGAGCCACACGCTCGGGACATTTTCAGGACACGTCATACTTCTCAGCTTACCGCTTCATTATTATTCATCACGTTTACTGCCCTCTGTTGATTTCTGCTTGCTAAATCTTACTTCACTGAAAGCTTGTTTTCAGAGTTTTGTTGCTCTGATATAATTTGATTTCCACAATGCTACAATCATCAATAAATCTTTGAATGACATTCAGAGATTTCACAGATGAAAAAACCTGTTGGTCTTTGTTTTTGTTTTTCCGTATTTGATTTATCAGTTTGGTTAAAATCATTTAGCCCAAATCTCATGGTAGATGTTTTTTGTTTACTACACAACCGTAGAGGCCTAATGTTTGAATAAATAGCGGTTTAGAGGAGTAGTAGCCTGTAGAGCTGAAAGTGTGCATTCTGTTGTAAAAATAAGATCTGTAGACATGAAGCAGTTGCTGACATTCTTTTTTAAATTTTTTTATACATTTAGCCTTATTTAACATTGTCTACTTTGTCTTGTCCTTTGTTGTGTAATGAGAAGGAAACTATTTTGTGAAGTGTTTTTGTTTTGTTTTCATTAAATTGAAGTGCTTCCTAATTTCCCGTTTAATGTTTTCCAGAATGTAAATTAACCCTGTAAAGCCTGACACATGAAGTAATTGTAAAAAATAATATGTGAGCCTGGAGCACAAAAGCAGTGTTAAGTCGCTGGGGTAGCTTATCTATTCATCTTTCAGATGATGTATAAATCTCAATTTCACAAAATTGACCCTTATGACTGGTTTTGTGCTCCAGGGTCACATTTGAAAGAGTTTTTTTGAGACTAGACAAAATGCAAAGCAAAAGAAAATAATTGCATGTGTGTTTTTTGTTTATCAGTAATACATGAATATGCAATATGCATAGTTATTCTTACATCTGCTTAATAGAAATCAGTAAAGATTTCACAGCAAACCGACACATGAACCTTTTATAATTATAAATAATTGCAGTTTTATAATTATACCAAATCCTTTTACTTTCTGAATGAATATAAACTGTAAATCAGATGACAGAAGGCGTGCAGTAGATTGCGCACAACAGGTTTTTCAGCAAAGATTTGATCATTTAGAGGCTGGCACTGAGTTGTGCTCTTATATAATGAGAGGAGGCTGATGGGAAACGATCGTCCTTGCGTGGCTTTTCATTCAGTGCTCATCTGTTCTCTTTCTGAAGGTTACATTTCATTGCAGTTTGACATTGATTGTGGCTGTGTGTCTGAGCAGTGTTACATAACTGGTCATTGATTGTCTCTAGCAGGATATTCCAGGATCATGACACTTTTAGGGATGCTAGATGACTGCTCCGAGATGAACATATCCACGTTTTAGCTCCCTAGCTTGCTGGGAATGATGCTGAGGAAAGACAAGACCAAGGAAATCAAAGCAATGTGATTTACAATGGTGAAAATGTGCATTTATACTCCTCAGTTTCTTGTTTTTGTTTGAAGCATGGTTATATTTCTCCTAGTATTCCCGTGAGTGTGTTTCTTGTTAAAGACGTTATATTTGGATTCTCTATAATATACAGTATACATGATAAACATTGTTTTTTGTAATGTTATTCTGAAGTATAGCTGTAGTGCATTATTACTAACCCTAACTATAGATTTACAGTATATACTGTACTAGCTATATATTATATAATCATAAATAATAATATTATTATTATTATTAGGAATGATAATATATCGATTTAGTAGAATGCAATATAATAAACTATTATAGAAATCAACCAAATAACAAAAATACAGTGAAACACTGCTTCACGGTATTATTATGTGCTCTGTAAGGCGCTGAACACTCAGAAGTATATTCAGCTGTTCTTCTAAATCTTGTTAAGTTTTTATTTCAGCAGGCTTCATGTTTTTTTGTGTGTGTGTTAGTTTTGTTTATGGCATCAGGATGTTTCACATTCAGTGGCATGGACGGCGAGGGCAAACGTGCCTGTGAACGTGTTTTATGGTTAATGTTGTAAATTCAAATTGATTCTCAATGAATCCATCCTCCATCAGCCTCGTTGTAGATACAGATACAAGCACAGGCCTGAAGCAAAGGAAACTATGAACCATAGTGCAATATGTTCTATGTCAATTTACTAATTTATCAGTGTTTTATTAAAATGGCGAAACCATGTGCAAGGTCAAAATGAAAAGATGAGACTGTTACTTGGTGAAAATTCCACTTAAAAAAAACCAAAAACATGTTTACAGTTGTGGTCAAAGGTTTGCATGCACCTTGCAGAATCTGCAACATGTTAATTATTTTACCAAAATAAGAGGGATCACACAAAATGCATGTTATTTTTTATTTCGCACTGGCCTGAATAAGATATTTCACACGAGAGACGTTTACACACTCCTGAACAGTTAAACTGCCTGCTGTTCTTCAGAAAAACCCCCCCAGCTCCCACTAATTCTTTGTTTTTTTTAGCATTTCTGTGTATTTGAATCCTTTCCAGCAGTGACTATGATTTTGAGATCCATCTTTTCACACTGAGGACAACTGAGGGACTCAAACACAACTATTTCAGAAGATTCAAACATTCACTGATGCTCCAGAATGAGAAACCACGCATTAAGTGCAAAGTGAATTTGAAGATCAGGGTAAATTTGACTTATTTTGTCTTCTGGGAAACATGCAACTATCTTCTGTAGCCTCTGAAGGGCAGTACTAAATGAAAAAAAATATGATATTTAGGCAAAATAAGAAAAATGTACACATCTTCATTCTGTTCAAAAGTTTTCACCCCAACTATTATTTTCTCTTGTGGACTATACGTAAACGTCTTTTTATGTGAAATATCAGTAACACTTTATTTTAGGGTCTCTTAACTAGTTGCTTATTAGCATGCATATTACTAGAATATTAGCCATTTATTAGTATTAATTAAGCACATATTCATGCCTTATACTACATGACCTTATTCTACATCCCTAATCCTACCCAATACTTAAACTTAACAACTACCTTACTAACTATTAATAAGCAGCAACTTAGGAATTTATTGAGAGAAAAGTCGTAGTTAATAGTGAATAAGTGTTCCCTATTCTAAAGTGTTACCATAATATCTTATTCAGGTCAGTACTAAATAAAAATTAACATGCATTTTGTGTGATCCCTCTTATTTTGGTAAAATAATTAACATTGTGCAGATTCTGCAAGGTGTATGTAACCGTTTGACCACAACTGTATAAATGATCTCTAAAGTCCTAAAAAGATAATTGAATAACATTATGCAGCTTATTTCATCTGATGCCCCCCAACATTAAAAGAAGTAGCAACTAGTGCCTTCCATGGAAAATAATCCCCCCTTCAAAGTGAATTGATGTTATTGTCATTGCTGTACAAATTTACCATGGGCGCTTCAGACAATGAGACAGGAATTATTGACATCTGGTGCTCACACTGTGCTGCTGGAAAATCAGCCCTGTCAGATAAAGGGGCCGGACAAACATGCATAGAAAAGTTGTGAAAGTACCAGAGCTCTCATCATCTCTTTCGAACCCTTCAAATACGCAACATCTCTTTGCTGTGGCTTGTAATTTTCATTTGTTTGGAATTAAGTAATTGTGTTTTTAAATTGATATTACACAATATTCATTGCTCTTTGATCCCTTGAGGAAGTCTGGTTTCTTTTCTCTGTTGGCATTTTTGATCATTTTACGGTAAGATACTGCAATATCACATAGCTAACTTATAAGAGTTTTTATTTGATGTTAATTAAAAAAAGAGAGTTATGTATTACAATTTTCTTTGACACTTTTAAGTATTCATTAAGTATTTTCTTTTAATTCCTGTCTATTTTTTTTCTAAGATAAGTATACTGTATATTATATTAACCTATTTGTTTAGATCATCTAAATGCCAATTATATTGATATTCTAATAGTTTTAATACGCAGTTTGTCACTTTGTAACTGACATATGTTTTTTACATTATAAATTACACTACCAAACCTTTACCATATCTGTTATGTATTCCCACAGTACTTCCCATTACACTTTTGGACGGTTTGTTGCTCAGAAATCAACAAAAAGTTTTACAAAGCAAGAACAATTTAATTTAATTAAATTGTCTTTCTGAGGAGAAGCAAGAACATAGACAATGGCTCATAATCAGATACATCACCATAGTCAACACCATCATCATCCTCACCATCAGCGTCGCCACTCATCTCATCGTCACCATCATCACCATCGTGGTGCACACATTCCAGAGGAACATGAGGATAAGAGGTGATAAAAATATATGACATGTATTTGTAAAAAAAAAAAAACATTAAAAAAAAGCATTTGTTAAAATGTATGCATAATGTATATACATAGTGTTGTTATCTTGAAGCAAAAAAAAAACTTAGAAACAATTATTTTCTTAACATAATGTGTGTTGTTGCTATGGTGTTGTGGGTGGTTCCTTGGGCTTTGCTAGATTGTTGCTATAGGGTCTCCTGAGTGGTTGTTGACTAGCCCAAATCAAAAGAAACCACCTGCAAGTTTTTATATTATTCAAGCCACATGGTTTTTAGGTATAATTCATGTCTATGTAACACCTCCGGTTATACTCATCCTGCTCCGAGTGGAATTCGAACAATTATTTCTGGCATGGGAGGCGGGTGCGCTAACAAGGACGCTAAAGACCACAACCACTAGCGTCAGTTGCTACTGCACCTCTTAAGATCAGGGGCGTGAAGTTTACCTGCACAGCTCTTACTAGCTGGCCTCTGTTACACTCACACCCCTAAACCTCACTCTCCTACCCGGGTCACGGCACCAACGTAACCCCTCTGGTTCTACTTTAACCTCTCTAAGCAGAATTCGAACCAGCGTTTCCAGCATGGGAGGCAGGTACACTAACAAGGACACTAAAGACTGCAACCTTTAGCGTCATTTGTTAACATGCCTCTTGAGATCAGGGGAGTGAAGTTTACCTGCACAGCTCTTACTAGATGCATGGCCTCTGTTACACTCACGCCTTTAAACCTCACTTGCATCCGGGTCACAGCACCAATGTAACCCCTCTGGATCTACTTGACCCTCTCTAGGTGGGATTCAAACTGCCGTTTCTGGCATGGGAGGTGGGCACGCTAATAAGGACACAAAAGACTGCAGACTCTAGTGTCAGTCGCTAGTGCACCAGATCAGGGGAGTGAGGTTCACCTGCACAGCTCTTAACTGGTCTCCAGTTATTTATACATAAATAAGTAATGGGTTTTTAATGAGTAATAGTAATAGTAACTAATAAATAGTGCCTTAGTAAGAACCACTAATTCTTTTTTTCTTCACTTTTATCTATAGTACTTCAGATGCCAGCAGTGGTCGCCATCACATTCATGAGCATTATAACCATCATCACCCCCAAGCTGATAGCCATCATCATCATCATTATCCACAAAATCAGGATAAACGTCACACACCGAAAAAGAAAACTCACTCTAAAGCTTCAGTCACTTCCTCAAACTCTTCTGGGTCTTCCTCTAGTTCCTTGTCAAAGTCTTCATCAAGCTCATCCAGTTCTGATTCCTCTTCCTCCTCCAATTCCTCTTCATCTTCTTTCTCCAAATCATATTTCTCCAATTCTAGCTTTTCCTCTTCCTCTGGTTCATGTTCTTCTTGGTCATCTGAAAACAGTCTGGAAAATGCCCCTTTGCCTACTGAGTCCAAGCGAGCTATTCAACATTCAAAGCACTCACAATCATGTATGGATATCAGCAGAGGACGGAGAGCCTTTGAGGATGATGCAGATACAATGCCTTTATTGGACGCTGATGACCAACTGAAGAAGTCCACAAGCATGGAAAAGAACCTGACTGTCAAAGAAAAAAGTGGAGGAACTGCCAAGAAGACTGCAACGAATTCTCAACAGAAGAATGAAAAGGGCAATAAGGGGCAACAACACAATCATGCTAAAGGGGCTGCAAACATAAGAAAGACCAAGTCTATGGAGGTTCTGTCGAGGCAAACAGATCATGCTGGTGTTGGAGACTTGGATGAGAAGGGGCGGGAAAAAAAGAAGCAAGAGGCTCATAAGAACTTTGTGAAGGGGAAGATGAAGTTTTCTGCCTTTCTGAATGAAATCACAAGGCAGGTGCTTAGCCCATCAAGACTTACATCCCTTGGGGTAACAGATGTTCATAGGCCCTTGAGCCCTGGTCAAACTTCAACATCTCCAAAGACATTGTCTCCAAAGCCTGAACATAAAAGAGAAAAGACATCAAAAATGACCAGAAGCCGGCTGGGAAGCAGTGCCAGCTCCATAACATCAACTGTTAATTCCCATGTCAGCAAATACTCGCACTCCAGTAAGCATTCTCATTCAAGTAAGCACTCCCATTCCAGACGGCACTCACATTCAAGCAAGACCTCCCGCTCCAACAAGCATTCACATCCTGAAAGGGACCTCATCTATCAACAACAGCACCAGGCTGTTCCCAGGCATCGATGTGACAGTACAAAAAGTGATACAAGCTGTACTAGTTCTTCTTCAAAAGGTCTTTCATCTGGGACTGAACATGGCCACAAAAGTCAGAAAAAGCACCAAATTGCCCCCAAAGAACAGCATTTGAATTCACCGAATCATCGAACTTCACACCACAAATCGTCTCCATCACACCACCATTACAACAGAGATTATCATAGCCCACCTTCATGTCCTTGTTCTCCAGAATCAGAAAACTGCCATCATCATGCCCATCCAGAATCGCATCACCATCATTCCCATCGAGAATCTCATCACCATCATGCCCATCGAGAATCCCAATGCCATCATGTTCATCGAGAATCGCATCACCATCATGCCCATCCAGAATCTCATGACCATCAAGCCCATCAAGAATCTCAACACCATCATGCCCATCCAGAATCTCATGACTATCAAGCCCATCCAGAATCTCAACACCATCATGCCCATCGAAAATCCCAACGCCATCATGTTCATCGAGAATCGCATCACCATCATGCCCATCAAGAATCTCAACACCATCATGCCCATCCAGAATCTCAACACCATCATGTCCATCGAGAATCACATCACCATCATTCCCATCCAGAATCCCAACACCATCATACCCATCCAGAATCTCATGACCATCAAGCCCATCAAGAATCTCAACACCATCATTCACCATCACATCACCACCATGGAACTCATCGTAGCCCATCACCACACCATCACTCTCTTCATTCAGATTCCCACCACCGTTCACCTTCTCCAACACATTACCATCATGGATCTTACCGCAGTTCAACACATTCTTCTAAATCAGGGACTCACCATCATCCAGAAGCTCACTGCTATCCTTCTCACGTGGAATCACACCACCATCATCATTCACTGTCACCACCACATCACCACCATGGAAGCCACCACACCTCATCTTCACACCATCATTCCACCCATTCAGAAACTTCCCACCATCATTCCCATCCAAAATCTCATCACTATGACTCGCCTCCTCCTCCTCTCCACCACCATGGAGAACACCATGGTAGTATATCTCATCTTTCTACAGACTCAGAAACACACCATCAGTTTGGTGTGAAATCGCAACACCATTATTCTGACTTTGAATCCTCTCATCCCAAGTCTCACCATCACCATCATCATTCCCATCCTAATCACTCACCCAACCCTGATCATCACCATCACACTTCAGATTCAGAACCAGAGCACCATAATTTCCACGATGATTGCCACTCTGAAACTCACCAATACTCTCATTCCCATGATGCATCCCCTACAACTGAACACCATTATCATTCCTCTCATACTGACACTGACCATAATCCTCATCACCATCACTTGTCTGACAGTCAGCCAAAAAGCCCTGTACACTCTAATTCACCCCATCCTTATGAAAATCATCCCAACTCACATTCAGAGTCCACAAATCATGGCACGTCACATTCTAAAGGACACCTTTCCAATTTGGACTTCCATCATCAAAGTGATCATAATTCTCCAGAACCTCACCATTTTCACTCAGGAAGTCATGATAACCCCCCTGTTGAATCAGATCATTACCATCACCACAAGTCTCAGGAATCCCACCATTATTCCCATTCAAATGCCCATCACCAATCCAATCCAGAGACTACCAATCCTCCACATCATGAGCATTCAAAATCTCATCATAATTCCCAACCAGTGGAGTCCCACCATCATCATTCCAAAGATCACCATCATGACCATGACCATCCAGAATTGCAGAATCAGCATTCCCATTCAGGACACCACCACTTTCATTCAGAATCAAACCACTATCATTCCCACGTCAAAGAGGATCATCACAATGATGATCACCCAAGCCATCTTCGCCACTCTCCAGTGGGCCAGCGGTCTACTTCTCCACATTCTAACAAGTCAGATTCATCTGCAAGCTCCACTATCCAGGACGATCAATCTACAGTGAGCTACCAAGAGTCATCCTCATTCCCAAAGGTGAGTATTTTTTCTTTAGTGTTGAAGCAGAGTGAAAATATACATATTTATATAAACTGATTATTATTTGTTGTTGGTGTTTTCCACATTTGCCTCTGCTTTCGTGTTTGCACAGGAAAAGGATTCAGAATTGGAGAGGTTAATGTGAGTTTTTTGTTTACTATTGCATTCTTTTTTTGCATGCTGCCTGCTAAAGTACTAATCGCCTTAACTTTGGTTCTGGAAATTGCTTTTCAGCTCCGTCAGGATGGTAGCGAGACAATTTGCTTCCCAAATGATCCCCTCTTGGCATGTCATTGCTCATAAAAGCATTGTGTATCTTACAGCCTGTGTGTGGTTGTTTTCTTGGAGGTGTGCTTGATGGCCTCTCTGTCTGTTTAATCGGTCCAGGATGCTACAGGAGCAGAATGAGGCTCTCCACCACAGCTTGCTGCAGACCACTTTGCAAATGAAATGCATGGGAGCTGAGTTCAAAACCGGACACCAGCTCCTTGAATCTGAGTTACAAAGAACTCGCATTGAGCTTAGCAGCTTAATAGAGCGGTTCACAAGGTGAGACACAAGACTAAACTGTACTGTGCTATATCACATTCTATTCTATTCTATTCTATTCTATTGGATTAATATACAATGCATGCACATAAAATAGACCAGTTAGAAAATGCTATTTTTAGCAGGATTTGAGCTTTTTTGGGTTTGTGTTTTTGTGGACAGTGCACATGCTCCGAAATGCACTATGTACATATGCATACACTACATTTACAGCACATTTACTCATTTAGTAGACCCTACATTTTAGCAATGAATACATTTTTATAAGAGATATATAAGAGGGCAGACTTGACCATGCAGAATGTGATGACAAAGAAGAATTTTTAAGGCATTTAACAACAAATCTGTTTCTTTAGCTTTTGATGGTTTTATATAAGATTTCCTCTAACAAGAGAAACAGCATAGCAGATTTCACTTTTTTTCATCTGAGCTAATCCATACTACCCTCGTAAAAAGTAGTGAGCACTTGTAGTGTAACCCTAAATCCTTACTTGCAGATAATATATTAATTAACTAAAAGGCCACTTAAGTGTACTTAAAGACAGACAATTTAATGTGTCTTAACAAACTTACACTTGTAACAAGTGCACTTTGTAATAATGTCAAGTTAAAAGTTTTACTTTAAAGTACCTTTCAATTAATTATGTTTTAGTAATATTCTGTTGTTCTTTAAAGAAGTGCACTTATTTTGATTAACATACTGAAGCACATGTAAAGTACTTGATTATCATTTTAATTGTAGTGTTATTTGGTGTTACATTTAAATTAAAAATATTATTTAAATGTACAAAATTCCAACTTACAAATTTGTAATTGCAAATACAGTATATTTAAATACATGATATATTATGAATTATTAAATGACACATAAAGATGTAATTAAGTGCTACTTAAGTGCCAGAAAACACTGTAAAATTGCATTTAATAAAAATTTAAATGTTAATATGTTTTCCTTTAATTGCAATTAATTCATTAACATCGATTAAAACACCATATTAAGTTTTAATTGACTTTTATTCTTTTAAAGTTAATTATTTTTGTAATAAATAATCTTTTCAAATTTTGACTAAAGTGTACTTATGTTTTTATAAGGATGAGTGAGTTATTAAGGCTTTAGCTCTTGTCAGCTACAATTTTCAGAAAGGTGACTGTAATGTTATTTCTGTTTTTATTCAAATAACAAAGACAAATTGTATATTTGTCATTATTTATAATGCAATCTGCACCAAACAGTCACTGATTTGCTCTAATTTAGTGCAACCCAGAATAAAAAAAATGTTTTTTTTTTTTAAGAATTCATGTGAATATATCATATGGCTCTCTGTTTCATCAGACTTCAGGACAACTACTCCTGCACACAACAAACCAACCACCTTCTGGAGAAAAAACTGCATTGTGTGGTAAAGCCCAATTTAACCCTTCATTTAGTCTTTCGTAGTTGTTCCACCCTAAAGAATCAATCCCATTCATTTGAATGGATTCTTAATCGCATAATATCAATAGACCATTGGTTTACATAACATCACAACAAATTCTGTTTGTTTTAAATATGACTTTTTAAATATGATGTTACTTCAATTTAGTCTCAAAGTACGGATGGAGAGCGAGAGCGACTGAACGAGCGAATCTCAGAGCTCACAGAACATCTGTCTGCAGCGAAGACCACCATCCACAGTCTAGAGAACATTAATGTGAGAGCTTGATTTCGTTATGTTTATAATTAGCAATATTCACATTCATGTAGATACTCCTTTACTTTTGATACTTCCATTCAAATATCAAGATGATGAATACAAGAGGCTACTCTTTAGGAACAGATTGTGAGAGAGCTCACTGTGAGGTATTTTATGATTTCATTCCCTTCAATAAAAATTTATTTTAGAAATAAAAAATATATTGACTGGATGCATGATCATTGTAATTTTAGTGAAATAAAAATTCAGGTTGAAAACGACTTCTTATAGTATTTAACCTTTTAAATATAATGTTGATTTAAGCAAACTGGCAGCTATTCTGATTTAAAAAAAACATTTAAAAATGTGTCTTATACAAAAAGTTTTTTTTTAATTAAACATTTACATCACATTTACACACTAACCAATTGCTACCTTAAAGAGCTATTTATTCCCATTAAATTAATGTATTTATGTTGACTCAGTAATGTTAAATTATATAAATTATATATATAATGTATATATAAATGTGACCCTGGAGCACAAAGCCAGTCATAAGTGTCAATTTTTCGAAATTGAGATGTATACATCATCCGAAAGCTGAATAAATAAGCTTTCCATTAATGCATGGTTTGTTAGGATAGGACTATTTTTGGCTGAGATACAACTATTTGAAAACAAAAAATGCAAAAAAATCTAAATATTGAGAAAATCATCTTTAAAGTTGTCCAAATGAAGTTCTTAGCAATGCATATTACTAATCAAAAAATTAAGTTTTGATATATTTACGGTAGGAAATTTACTAAATATCTTCATGGAACATGATCTTTACTTAATATCCTAATGATTTTTGGCATAAAAGAAAAATGTATAATTTTGACCCATACAATGTATTGTTGGCTATTGCTACAAATATACCCCAGCGACTTAACACTGCTTTTGTGCTGCAGGGACACACATATATATATATATATATATATAATATAGTTAAATTATACCATTTTCAGGTTTAATTTTTTGACT